CCCCCCACCGCACGCTCCGGTGCCCGAATAACCCATCACTATCATAACTCTATGACTGACTCGCGCTCCGGGCCGGGGCGGCCTCTCCCTGTCGCGACGGAACGCATCCCTGGGCGCCCACCTTGATTAGGAAATAGGACGTTCCCGGAAAGGGACGGTAATTCCACGAAATAAAAATGGCCTACCGGCACACAGTGGATCGAGTCGATAGGAGAGGGTGGACAAAATTTCGAAACTTTGAACGCTCATAACTCGATGTTTCTACAAAGTTTTGGGGTTCTAAAAGTGGTTTCATTGGTTTCCTCCTGAAATTGTCTTCCAGAACCACCCTTTGAAATTTAAAATGTGACGTAATGAACGTTAAAATTTGCGGTTTTAGTCGAAAATTTCGTGTCCGACCTCTCTGATTGACTCGATTCACTGTGCGGCAGTGTGCGAATGAGAGCGTCGCGAGGCCTTTTTCCCCGTTACAGATTTCGGTTCCTTCAGAGCACAACGATGGTGAAACTCCCAAACGACGTATCTCGGTTTGTGGTGTCGCACACTTCCTGTCATAGTTTAATTTTCAAAAAGAGCACGGCTCAACGCTAATTCTTCAAAAACCCCTTGATTTTTCCCCTCTATGCGAAGAAAATTCTGTAAAAATTCCAAGGGATAATGTTGATTTGTTCTCCCTCAAAAAATAAGCAGGGAGCGGAGATTTTGAAACACCGCAAACGAGGTACGTGGTTTGAAAGTTTCACCATCGACATTGAATTTGGGAACAAAAGTAAGCGGGAGAAAAAGAGGAAGGCACGTGAGTCGAGTTTTCTTCATACCGCGAGAGTGCCTCGCGTATTATAGGCGGATCCAGTGGATTATAGTGGGGCCGTAGGGGGCGTTAAAAGCATTAACTGTTGCTTTAAATGAGATGAAAATGAAAAATTCACCCCATACTGTTTGCCTTGAAAAAAGGAGGAAGATAAGGGAAGGAAGGAGGAGGGAAAGGATGCAGGAAAGAAGAGGGAAAGGACGGAGGAAAGAAGAGGGAAAGGACGGTCGAAAGAAAATAAAAGGACACTTGTATTTGGCAATGAAGATATTGACTCAATCTGCACACTGANACGGACCATAATGTCCGATTTTTTTACTTAAATCAACTCTTTATTTAATTTCAAGCACTTTTTATAGAATGACTTTTTCCCTTAAATTACACCATTTCCAAGAAAATCGACAGGATAAAAACGTCGCTGTACCCAATGACGTCATCAAAGCTATAGATACTCTATGAAAAATTCCAAGATGCCCGAAATGCAAACACCTCCTTTTTTTTCTCTATGTCGCGAGAGTGCCTCGCGTATTATAGGCGGATCCAGTGGATTATAGTGGGGCTGTAGGGGGCGTTAAAAGCATTAACTGTTGCTTTAAATGAAATGGAAATGAAAAATTCACCCCATACTGTTCGCCTTGAAAAAAGGAGGAGGATAAGGGAAGGAAGGAGGAGGGAAAGGATGCAGGAAAGAAGAGGGAAAGGACGGAGGAAAGAAGAGGGATAGGACGGTCGAAAGAAAATAAAAGGACACTTGTATTTAGGGATGAAGATATTGACTCAATCTGCACACTGATGCTTCAAACTTTCAAAACATTTCTGGGAGAAGTCCCCAGGCCCCCTATCCGCCCCCTCCGTTCGAAATTTGTGGAATCCGCCTCTGTCGCGTGTTAGGTCAAAATTTAAAAAAATTACGGAAAAAAAAGAAAAAAAGTACAAAACACAATAATGTTTAGATCCAAGCATGTCTGTATAAAATCAAAATATCCAAGTACCGAAAAAATCTAATAAGGGTAACATGGCGAGATGGAGTGTCGGCCAAAAATGTTGTAATCTTCGTAGCCAATCAGGCCGAAACTCGCGACTTGTAACTCGCTCAAAGTAGGATCGGATTCTACTTTTCGGGCGAAGACGCGCGTGTAGCGCGCCGGTGTATCTGGCCCTTAAATCGCGATTGTGTGGTCTCTTTGAAAAGATAAAATAGGAGCGCACTTAAATTGGGAAATAGTAACGCAACGGCGACCGCACTGAACTGTGTTAGACGCAGTGTGTGAAGTATTCCTGCACTCTTGTAGGCGCTCGTATGCAGGCGCAATGCGTGAAGTATTCCTGCACTCTTGTAGGCGCTAATATCGACGGCGTAAGTTTGCGATCACATATCTCGTTTGCGGTGTCTGAAAATCTCCGCCTCTATGTTATTTTTTTAAAGGACAACAAAGTGACATCGTTCCTTGAAGTTATTGCAGAATTTTCTTCGCACAGAAAAGAAAAATGACGGCAGTTTTAAAGAATTGCCGTGGAGTAGTTTTCGGTTAAAAAATAAAGTATGACAGGAAGTTCTGCGACGTCGCAAACCGCGTTATGTGGTTGCTGAACTTACACCGTTGATATGTATCGTATACTTGTATGCGAATTTCTACACTTGGCATAAGAAANGCTTGTCCAAAAACTTTCTCCCCCGACCCACTGTGCGGCCCTGCTCCGGCCGGCTCCCCTCATGCCGCGCACCCCTCGCCTAAAACTTTCAAAGCTCGCCATTTTTAAACGGCTCGGCCGATTTAGCTCAAATTCAATACCAAACCAGTCCTAGGGGAGAACTACCACCCGTAAAAATTTCAGCTCAAAATATTCATTTTCGCTCGAGTTATCGAGTGGACAAGATTTGACCTCCCCCCATTTTCGAGCCCCACCCCTCAAAATCTATTGCCTCAAATTTCAATTTTTTTTCGCAGAATAGTAGTCCTAATGAGTCTCTACAAAATGCAAAAAAATTGGTCAAAATATCTTTCAACGTAAGAAAGATATAACCACTCAAAAATCGAAAAATCTTCAAAAGGCGGAAATACATACATACATACATACATACATACATACATATATACATGCATACATGCATGCATACATACATACAAATACAAACCCTCTTACATGCGATGAACCTAATATTGCCACCAAAATTCTGAAACTCTTCACCTCTCTTAATTTAAAAATCTAAATTTTCGTTTATACTCCTATATATTTTCAAAATTACCTGTAAAGACGTTAATAGCCTAAGTCGCTGAATGTCTCAAAATTATAATAACTAACTAACTATATATATACACATGAATTTGAATAGCATATATTTTCGTGATCTACGACCCGTGATCGGTGCTCTTCACAATGTCTCAGGTCTGGGTCCGACATCATGGGAGAATGCAATAGTGTATTTTCCTTCGGAAAATACACTAAAAGTACAAAAACATAATAATGTTTAGATCCAAGCATGTCTGTATAGAATCAAAATATCCAAGTACCGAAAAAATCTAATAGGGGTAACATGGCGAGATGGAGTGTCGGCCAAAAATGTTGTAATCTTCGTAGCCAATCAGGTCGAAACTCGCGACTTGTAACTCGCTCAAAGTAGGATCGGATCCTTCTTTTCGGGCCAAGACGCGCGTGTAGCGCGCCGGTGTATCTGGCCCTTAAATCGCGATTGTGTGGTCTCTTGGAAAAGATAAAATAGGAGCGTACTTAAATTGGGAAATAGTAACGCAACGGTGACCGCACTGAACTGTGTTAGACGCAGTGTGTGAAGTATCCCTGCACTCTTGTAGGCGCTCGTACGCAGGCGCAATGCGTGAAGTATTCCTGCACTCTTGTAGGCGCTAATATCGACGGCGTAAGTTTGCAATCACATATCTCGTTTGCGGTGTCTGAAAATCTCCGCCTCTATGTTATTTTTTTAAAGGACAACAGAGTGACATCGTTCCTTGAAGTTATTGCAGAATTTTCTTCGCACAGAAAAGAAAAATGATGGCAGTTTTAAAGAATTGCCGTGGGGTAGTTTTCCGTTTAAAAAATAAAGTATGACAGGAAATTCTGCGACGTCGCAAACCGCGTTATGTGGTTGCTAAACTTACACCGTCGATATGTATCGTATAATTGTATGCGAATGTCTACACTTGGCATAAGAAAAAAATAAAAATCACATAACTCGTGTTTCAGTTTATTTTTTTCTCCAGGTGACACCTTCCCGGCCATTTCACAGGATATTGTAGATAGTTTATTCCATCCGGCTTTTGAAGTGACGCTATCAGTGTAAAGCAAGCCATGCGACCACACAGGACTGAGATAAAAGGTGCTCTGCGGTACATATCTGGCGACAAATAAGAGCCCTCTATTAGTATCATAGCAATCGTGGGAGCTTTAACACTCCAGCGCTCAACATTTCCTAATAGACAGCAACAGTCATCTTTAATCTCTTGTTGACTTTTAAGCCATGGGTTCAGCAGTGACTCAACAAGTTTTCAGATCATCATCGGTGGTTCGGTGAAAAAATTGCTGAACATGTTACTCCACAGCAAAAAAGTATGTAATATCAAGAGTCAAGTGTTTAGGCTTAACTGGAGAAATTAGAAATTTACATGTGTCGCCAAGAGGCTGGTCCGGTGGAAGTGTCCATTTGGTTCCGACCTTAACGTGTTGTTGGAGCGCAAGAAAAATCAAAACGCCTTCACTTCATTGTGTATGCAACGCTGGCAACTACAAAGTACGAATAGTCGCATCAAGGCGATGTAACCACGGCCGTACGGCATTTCGTCGCTTGGCTGACGTAAGGGCGTAATGCGCCTTCATTTTAGCGTGTATGCAAGCTTTCAGCCCCGTCCGCGCTCTGTATCTGTTATCAAAAGCAAGTTATTGAGGCATAGCTGCCGGTAAGTTTTAGCTGTTAGAGGCTAGGTGAACTGATAGAAAACCAGTGGACTCATAGTTGCTTTCAAATTATTATTCATAACAGCGATGTTTCACTCGCAGGGTTTCAAAACGGATTGTTTTCAGGGGGGTGGTTGTATTAAGGAAGCTACAGGTGGCCTAGGTGGTGGAT